TTTTCATGTTATAATTTGTAGTCATTCTAGCATAAAAATAGCATAATTTATATTTATTTCCTAATTTTTTTATGGTGGTTACGACGTCAGTCAAATCAACAGAACCACTAAAGAGATATGATAGTGAAAATGACAGATAAAATATAAAGTTTTTTTCTTAAAAACTTTTGATAATTATCTGAAGGCTATAAAGATTTTGCATTTGAAATTTGAAAATTTTCTGATGCATAAAAGTATTTGTAATCTTAAAATGAAAATTACTTTGCATGTTGGATAGTCAATAATCGAAAAGAAAAAAGGCATGAGAAAAACATTACTTAAAAAAATCTTAAAAATTAATAAAAAAAAAATATAAAATATTTTGCATTCAAAAGCCTTGTAATTTTTACTGATAATATGAAAAATTTCATGAAGATATCCTTGCTAATTTAGAATTTATAGCATGAAAACTATAAAAAGCACAAAATGGTTACAAGGTCAGTTCCTGAGATTGAGCCCGTGCTGAGAGAGTTAACCCTATTTCTATTTTGTAAAGCCTGTTGGTTAATTACTCCCAGTCTATTGAGTCAGTCTCAAACAATCTTGGCAGGTTGATGCTTTAGACAATGTTGAATATTCTAAAGGGATTCAAGGTCAAAGTATGAAAGTTGCTGGATTGTTTTTCAAACAACCATGCTTTTCATATGGTCAATGAGATGTAGGTGGTTCAAGGTTTGGATCACCTCAAAATCTTTTTGTTGGTAGATGAAAAGCAAATGTTGTTTATGAAGAAACTTTGTTATAATTTTAAAATTTTGAGATGAAGTTTATGTTCAAGTTATTACTTTGAAATGTATGATTGCTGTTAATCTGATATTGTTTTAATTAAGTTTAAACATTCCCCATCAGTTGGCAGGTATTTCAGCTTGTGTTTTATATAACTTAAGCCGTATTGGACTGGTAGAGTAAATTTTTCACAGCTTTTATAAGTGCCTCATAGGCTATAGATTCCTCTGATAATATTTACTTTCTTTTCTTTTTTCATGTTAATTATGTTAGAAATGCACTATAAGTATTACATAGCTTCTAAATCTACAATTTTCTTTATCTGTGTTGTCTTTGATTTTTCATATTAATTCTAGATCACAGTGAAAGCACTGTATGACTACCGAGCCCAGCAAGAGGGGGAACTGTCTTTTTGCAAGCATGCAATCATTACTAATGTAGTGAAGCAGGAAGGAGGTTGGTGGCAGGGAGATTATGGAGGGAAAAAACAGCACTGGTTTCCAGCAAACTTTGTGCAGGAGTTAGAAACCCAGGAAAATTCTGATGAAAGTGTGAGTAAATATCTATTGGGTTAATTTTATGAATAGTTAAAGAACACTATAAAAATCAAGAAAAGCTACAAATTAATTTTATTGCAGTTCAAACTTAAGAAATATTCTTACAGCAATGTGATTTTATCATAATTATTTTGGTTTAGTTGACAAATGCATAAACCGAGAACTTTAGGTTTTTTTTTTAGTTTCAATCAAACCAGAAGTATGTCAGAGGAGTGCTAACCAGGAACTTCAAAATATGAAGACTTTTTCTGTACTTGAGTTTACAAAATTTCTAAGAGTAGGAATTTCTAAATTTATGAAAATATTTTTAATTAAAGAGGCCAACATTTGTGGGTGATTGCAACACGTCTCCACCACACGATCCCAACATGTCCAATTTTTACACCAGAAAAATTGTGAAAAATACAGTAAAATCAAAAATGGCTATATCACTGCTTGGACTTGAAAGGAGGTATCTTTGTACCAAATCCCATGTAAGTTGGTTGACATTCACATGAATAGCTCATGAAAACACTAAGTTTTGCTTCCCTCACTGAAAAATTGAGCAAAAGACAAAAATTGTCTAGATCACTGTTTGGGACCTATAAAAAAAAGTATCTTTGTACCAAATCCCATATAAATTGGCCAAAATATAGTAGAGTAATTGTTAAAAATCCCTAAAGCTATGTTTTGTGTCATCTTGACCCCCCCCTATAATTACTAAAAATGACCAAGTCCAACCTTTTTCTTTGTTTGGGTGTTGCCTGTAGAAAAGTACCTTTGTATTAAATTTCATCTAAGTTGTTCAAAACAAGGCTAAGTAATTGACCAAAACTCCTAAAAAATTAAGCTTTATTTAACCTTTTGACACCTCCTAAAATGACCAAAAATAGGCATATCCAACATTTTTGTATAAACATGTATAGGATCTATAAAAAAGTATATTTGTGCCAAATCCCATGTAAATTGTCAAAAAACCATATGATAAAATTATGCATTTTGTTGCATCTTGACCCTCTTATAAATTACTAAAAATGGGCAAGTCAATCATTAGTGTTTGTCAATGTGTGTGGAAAAGTGTCTTTGTACCAAACTCCATATAAATTGGTCAAAGTATGGCTGAGTAATTGACCAAAAACCCCAAAATTATGCTTTTTGGTGAGCTGTGACCCCACTTAAAAGACTCAAAATGGACAAATCCAATGTTTTTGTATTTCATTGGATTGGGCGCACAAATTTATATTTGTGCCAATTTTCATCATTGCTGTAAATATCACTGCATGGGAGTCCAATATATATATATTTTGGGTTGTTTGACCTTTAACTCCATAAAATCCTTAAAAAGGCCTACATCATAAAAATTAAAAAGATGTCTGGATATATTGGACCAAGGTAATAACCCTACCAAATTTCAAGTCAATCCACCAACAAATGAAGGAATAGTGATTAATTGAAAAGTGTTTGGAAGAAGAAGAAACAATAAAAAAAACATTGTCTCTCTGCAGAGATATAACTACTTGAGTTAGAGAAGTGCTAAGCAAGAACTTCTAAATAGGACAAACTTTTAACTACTTATGCTGCAAAGAACATTTCTTGTTAAGGTGTAATCTCTTAAGTTGAACTTTGACCTGTTTACTCCGTGAACATGGACAACAAGTTCCTTTCAAAGCTTATTGTTTAATGGTTAGCTGGCTTTCCGTGTTTTGTTTTTCTACATAGCAGTTGGTAGGATTTTGTGTTCAGTTGCTGTATTATGTGTGGCTTAATATATATAGTCTGCATTAGTGTTGATGATTTCTTCCAGACAGTAGTATCTTCCACTTTACCTTATTACACAAATGGTGTAAATTGAAATCTTACCTATATTTTTAGCATTTTGAGTTCTGTTGTATGTCAGAGTTGAAGCTGAATGGTTATAGTGTATTGATAATGAATATATCACGAGTTAACTATGTGTAGGTAATTCAGTTTACATAGTTTTATAAAGTTCACAATATGATAATGCTGTTAATATTGGTAACAGAAATTGTAAATGTTTTCAGTCGGGTGAAGCCATGCCATTGGGGAACTTACAGAAAGGAAGTATAGATATTGTGGGCTGTACAGTTGGTAAGTTCTTGTATATCTTTTGTTATAAACCACAATTAGTGACACAATCATGTTATTATTTTTTCAATGGCTTTAAAAAGCATCAAATCATTCATTTGGCTGACATATCTTCTTGCTGCTGGCCTCCACATCTAAGAACAACTTGTATTATTTTCAAAGAGTTGTAAAGTTAACCATTTTCAGTCATTCATTTTGTCTACATATATAAAATTATTGTAGGATATTTTTTTAAATTTAGACTTTGGTATTTTTGTATTGTGAAAAGGAATTTTCATGTCACATGGTGAGTATGGCTTAATGGCTATAATTTTATTGATAGTTTAAGAAATGATTAAGTAGATTGTTATTGGTATGTGTGACAGTGGTTAATTAACCATTGTGTGTTATCAAATTTTTTAACCAGTTTGTTACTGTCAATCAGTTAATTAGACCATTGTTGTGAATGCTGAATGTCCTTTTTTAGTGCTGAGTTTATGCTGAATCTCTAAACACTGTGATATTATTGTTTCAGATATTTTACAGTCTCGAGGAAGGGAATTTGTTTTCCGGATAGTTTCTCCATCCCAACTTTCAGCTGTAGCTTTTGAGATGGCAGCTCCAACAGAGGATGACATGCATGATTGGGTGCAGAAGATTCGAGAAACTGCACAATCTGTGAATGATATGGTAAGTTTGTCTTCCTGTAGTGTACTTTGCATCTTTGTGTAATCACTTTGTTTATAAATTTTATTTTTGTTCATTTTGTATCTTCAGATTCAGATGTTTAGCAAATTTCTCGTTTTTTCATATGAAGAAAAAGGTTTTTCTGTAATGTTTTTATTGTTGTATATTACAGATACGACAACGTAGAGAAATGGAAAGAACGTTGCGTATAGCCAAAGAGTTGTCCAACCTCATAATTTATTGTCGCTCTGTACAGTTTTGTCCGGAAAGTAAGCAGTGTATTGTTATTCAGTTATTAAGAACGGAATAATTCATAACATCAGTATACAGAATGTACAATGTTAGATGTAGGATTTGCAGTTTTACCATAAAACATTTTGAAGTTCAATTAGGATCTTTAAAGTGTTCATGTATGTAAAAATAATTCTTGCTTGTTCAATGAAGTGTTATTGAAATATACGTGTTTATTTAAATGTGATAAAAGCTGTTAGAGGATGCTGAATAACGTTTTTATCTTTTCATACTTCTGTGTAATTGCATTGATAGTGCCCCCCAGTGGTTCCAGCAGTAAGTCTGCAGGTTTAAAATGCTAAAAACTGTGTTTGATAGCTGAGAAAAAAATAGCTCATTGTGGAGCTGTGTGCTAAAAACTGTTTTACACTTTTTAGTTCCAGACATGCATCTTTATTTTTCTAAATGAATTATTGTATTTTTCTTCAGTTACTTACCACTAGTATATTTGGGTGAATACTATGTATCAATTTTAGAAAGAAAAGTATTTTTTGTGCCACTTCCTCTAGTTGTCTTTTTGACAGCTCTGCTTATGTTTGGTTGTGTCATCTGTTTTTGATGTAACAAATGTTTTGGCTCCAAACTGCTACTTCTCCAGGTGCCACTTCGACAGCTGTGCTTATGTTTGGTTGTTATCCGTTTTTGAAGTAACAAACTGATAGCTCTGTTTATATTTGTTTGTGTCATCTGTTTGTGATTTAACAAACGTTTTAGCTTTACATTGCTCCTTCTCCGTGTGCTTCTTTGACAACTCTGCTTATGTTAGGTTATGTGATCTGTTTTTGACCTAACAAGTCTTTTAAATCTGCACTGCTACTTCTACAGCTGCCTCTTTGACAGCTCCTCTATATTTAGTTGTGTCATCTGTTGTTGTTTTTTCACAGGTGTTAGCATAATACAACAAACACTTTGTGTGGTCACATGTAAACTAGATCCAAGCTGTTTTTCAATCTTACTGATTTTTGTGTACATTTGATGTTTCGTGAGTTCATTCATGTTCATCATTGGCACCCTTCCTTCCATTTTAAGTACTTGAGATTGAAATGACATGTGGTTAATCAAGTACATCAAATTTTGAGTACTTCTGCGAATTGATGCTTTTATTGTAACAGCCACTTCCCCCATCTTTATCAGTCTTGGACTAGTCTGTCTTTCTGTAAAGATATCTACCACGTATCATGTGTGTGTGTGTATATATTAATTTTTTTTCTTCTTCTTCTTTCTTCTTCCACTATGTAAAAAGGATAGAAATTGTTTTCTTGCTGAGTGAATCATGTTGGTGCAGTTGATAAACTTTATAGCACTGAAATGGGCCAAAAACAAAGATGCTGAATTGATTTTAACTCTAAATAAACAATAAGCCTATAAAAATTATGTTGAGTTAATTAAATGATACATTATGTTGAAAGGAGATATTATCATTTTTTCAATCACCATGCTAAAGTTATAGGTTGGGGGGCCTCAAACCTTTTTATTCACATCAAGGGAGCCTCAGACTAAAAGAGTTTGGGAACCACTGATCTAACAGTATTTTAAGAAGCACGTGATGTCATGACCTTCTCAGCAAAGGACTGTGACTTTAATTTCTTTGAGGTGGGTGAACTTGGGTGTTTCCATTCCAAATTCTGCACTTTTGTCTCTGGGCCGAAGCGGTGAACCAACGTTTCATCTATAGTTACGAATGTATTGAAAT